ACTCAGGAACTATGATATCATGACCTGAACGAAAGTTGGACATTCAACTGACTGAGCCACCCAGGCGTCGCTGAATTTTTACCAGTTAATTAACATTGAAAGTAAATTATATTTGCTGCTATTGGATGACATTTGATTATCTGGATCTCTCTTTCCTCTCACTCCCCAAGACTGTTTTGTAGTTGAGCTCAACTTTCTGCCCATAGAATAAGATTTTTGATGTATTGGAAAGGGCTTTCAGGTAAAATCAGCTACGTTGATAGTCTCTTAATTCATGATGAAAAAATCAATTCCAACTGACTACAGAAATTTTTTCCAAAAGTGTTGTGAACACACCAGATTTGGGATTTAAGATAATTTCAAGCAGGACACAGATAAACATTTCTATTTTAACAACCAGTTATTAATTATTTTAAATACCACATTCTACTTATGATAATAGATAATGGTTTTCTGTTTATTAATTAATTGTATTACTTGTTTTAAGTAGTAGGTTTTGGTTAGAAATACCATTAAACAAAAGAAGGTTACATGAAAAAAGAATGCTATAATTGTTCAATTAAATTCTGTGAGTTTGAATTTACATATGGAAGTTTATATGCACAAAATAAATTTTACTTTGAGTCATTAAACTCTTACCATCCCATACTACTTACATAGATTGAGTTTAGAACCAAATTGTCCATGTTTTTTCATTATATACACAAAATTAGATTAAATTTTCTTTTAAAATTCATAGGATAACTAAGATGTTTACATCTTTGGAACAAAAGAAAAGAGACATACAGAACAAAATTATCCACTAAAATTTCTACCTTACAAATCACTCATACTCAAAACAAATACTAATATCCAGTGTTACTGAATTGCTGGGAGCCGCACCGGCCTCGCTGGATGAGTCATAGTGAGGAAATGGTAGCGTTTGCACAGCTCCTGCCATGAGAAACGAAAACTGGTATCTCCTTCTGCTACTACTGGCTCATGTTGGAAATGAGGCTGCTGGTATTGACCAGGCCTCACAATATTCCAGATCAGACCCATATTCCCCATACAGATTCCTCATAAGGAAAAGTCTATTCCTGCCTTTTCAAAAGAGATTTCAGATGAAAACATTTTGGATGATTGTTAAAAGGCTCTTCCTAAGGGCACTGCAGATCCAAGACTTACACAATAAAGGAGGCTTGAGTCTGGCCCTGAGACAAAGATCCTAGTTTAGAGTTAAGGGCAAATATCCACCCTCACCCAACTGTTTCTGCCTGGAGCACTAGCCACCCCCCACCACAAGGCATTTGTTATCAAGTATTTGGAGTGACTTATTCTGGCCTTGAATATGCTGATGGCTCCCTGTGGAAGAACCTATTGAGGAACTTCTTTTGTGATTATGGGAGCAAAGGTGTTTCCTGAAAGACCTGCTTGACCCCTGCTCACAGAGAAGTAACCTCACCCTCTTAGGCTAAAAACATTGTCTGATATGCTGCATCTAAATCACCTATCTCACTATTGATAAAGGTCATGCAGAAGTCTTCTACAAATCTATGTTCTGGGAAATTCTTACATATCAAAGAAGTTTGTTTATCAGAAATCATTGTCTAAGGCAAACGCCACTTCTGTGCCATCCCCCAAACACTTATAAAATAAAGTTGAGCCCCAGTCAGAGGGGAGATGCCTGCCTGGTGACCAGAAAGACTCTCAGGGCTCTCTCACTCCTCCCTTGCCGACACCGTCCATCCTTCAGGGACCCCTGAACCCAAGCCAGAGCCGGCCTCTGACACTGAATAGTGATGATATACCTTAAATTTCATTTCTGACCTTAAGAGGCTACTGTTGTGAAAATCCCTCACTGCACCAGTGATGGGCGCACTCATTCTCACTTGACTCACTAGAAACTGTTCTCATGAACTATATAATAGGAGGGTCATAGGAAATAGAACAGTAGAGACAGGAAATCAATGTATCTAATGGCAAAGGCTAGAAGAGCAAAGGAAACAATAACCAGAAATTAAGCTTGGGATGGGGGGCACCAGGTATGGTATACAGTTGACTCTTGAACGACACAGATTCAAATTGTGCAGGTCCACTTATATGAGTGTCATCTCTGATATATACAAAACAGTTTTGTAAATGTATTTTATCTTCCTTAAGCTTTTGTTAATAATGTTTTTATTTCACTAGCTTACTTTATTTTAAGGATACAGTATATAATACATATAACACACAAAATATATGTTAATGCATGTTTGTGTTAACCATGAGGCTTCTGGTCAACAGTAGGCTATTAGTAGAGATTTTGGGGGTCAAGTTATATGTGGATTTTCAACTATGCAGAGAGTCAGAGCCACTAACCCCTACATTGTTCAAGGGTCAACTACATTCATAATCATTATTCCCGATTGAATCTTTCTTCAAATTGTTTTAACCTTGCTTAATGTCATTGCATTCTGGTTCTTTGCTCTGTGCTCAGCGATAACAAAATAATAATACTGGGGTACCTGGGTGGCTCAGGACATTAAACACCCGACTATGAATTTCAGCTCACATTATGATCTCATGGTTTGTGGGATTAAGTTCAGCAGCAGGCTCTGCACAGCATGAAGCCTGCTTGGAATTCTCTCTCTCTCTGGCCCTTCCCCACTGTGGTCTCTCTCTCTCTCCCTCTCTCTCTCTCAAAATAAATAGATAAACCTTAAAACAATATGGTATGGAATAACGTAGCTCTGAATTAATGCTTTGTACAGTAGTCCTGTGAAAAGACAGTTAAGCAAAGGAAAACAGTGTACCTAAATGTCAGGTAATTTCACATTTTGATGCTTACTTTTCACAACATATTTTTACTATCATTCTTAAGTGAGCAGACATGTTTTCCGGCCAAAAATACGATGATTCATACCCTACGTTTCCTCAACTGACATGATGCAAGCTTATTGTTTACTCTAAGGACATGGAAGGAAGACAGCTTTCATGTTGATTCAAAAGTGGCTCTGTCTTTTGACAACCCCTCACGGGGATCAATTAGACCCATCTGTGTCTACAGCTTTGGTGAGTCAGGCTGCTGCCATTAGAAGGCAGACTAGCAGTGCCACTTTATCCCATATACAGTAGCTCCTGTCAGACACTAGCTCCTCTAACAGTAACCTCACCCCCCAGGAACAAAAAATCAGTCTTACAGTTAAATTGTTTCTCTAAAACATAGCTTTTCTTTGTTCCTCACACCAGGGTCTTAAACTGTAAACATGTTCCTGTATCTGGAAATCTGAAACCCTACTTCCCCTTTACCAAGCGGTGGGTTTTTTTCTTTTGCTTTTTTTACATATTGCATTAAGTTCATATTTTATACATATTTTGACCCCATCATGCTCTTATCAACCTTCAAAGATAGAATATACAGGAAATTTCATAATTTAGCATGTTCCTTAGATATCGTGTTTCACCATGTTCCAGAATTCTCATTTATTGTACCATAAGGAATTTCAATCCATATTTACTTACTTTTCTGTTACTTTATTTACAGCCTTCAATACTTCTTCTGTAACTGTTTGTTTTCTCAAAATTCCTCATAAATCTACTTACCAGGAATTTCCCAGTTTCATAATTATCAACAGCACACTCATGGTCTTAAGAATAGGATTGATGAACGATGACAGGTCAATATATAACAACTACTAATGGAGCCGATTCTGGAGAATGCCCCTACAAACACTGCTAATAAATACAATCTTCTGGACTTAAGCTGAATGTGAATCCTGTTGTAGAACAGACATGTAGAACAAGTTGAATCCAATGAGTAAATTAACCAGCTTTCAACCCGACATGGAGGGCTACTCAGGAATTGCTATTTCTCTTCTCTTTCCCGAAACAAATGTGCTTCTTTAGAGCTCTCTCTTGACCAACACGTTTCGAGAAGAGGAATACTCAGACCACTTTGGGAGATAGATTCAGATGAATACAAAGAACAAGTCTTATATGCTCTCAAGCCATTTCCTGAGACTTTCCTATATGCTATGAACGTGTTTAGGCAACCACTGAATGATTTATGCATTTTACTTTTGCCCCATTGCATAAAATCTTATGAGATACGTGTCAATATATTTTCCTATGTCAGTAGTGTTTTTGCATTAAAAACCAATTTTTCCTTGGTTGATTTTGGATATGAAGGTTTAACCCCTTAGAAGTGGAAGATTCAGAACAAATCACACATTGCTCTCTCTTTTTTACTTTTTTTTTTTCTCAGTACTTGTATGCGTGTGGGGGTATGGGCAACTAGCAGAGAAATTAAACATTCAAAAGAAATGGAGTTGATTCAATAGCAAGTCTCAAAATATGTTGTAGAATCAACGTATAAGTGAGCAAAAATGACTATGTTTCCATAGTCGTACAGATGGAATGTATGGGTTTGGGAAGGAAGGAGAGAGGGAGAGATTATTTTCTTACTCTATCGATGGCTTTCTTGACTCACTACCCAGCAACCTTATAGCAACAGGAGCTCTTTGTAAAGTCTGGGCTTTGGGCAATTCCATAATCCATCTTACCCTAGAACTCACTCTAACTGCTTTCATCAGTAGACACAATTGTCGGTGAAAAAAACTCAACTGCAAATTGCAAGTGGTAAAACCATGGTTTTCAAACATTAACTTTTGGTAAGAGACAGATTTTAATTGAAACATGTATTAAATGACTATTTCAGGCACTGTGAAAGTATCTTAATATCATTAATTATGGGAAATCATGCCTCGCAGTTGTTTTATTAAATGCCTTTTCTAAATGAAAACTTTGAGGTTGGTTCGCTTGAGTGACATGTTCGACATCCCCGCCAACGTTAAACCCCCTCTGCCGAGATTGAGAGCAGATGTTTTTGTTCAAATCCTATGGCTTTTCCTCTAATACTTACCACACAAAAGCATTACATTTTCCCCAAACTAAATCATTCGTGCAGGTTTGGACAGAGCATTGTTTTTCCTATCTTTTCCGAAACACAGAAAATAAAAAGTTTTTTTTTTTCTTACCGAACGGCACTGCTGCCCACATCTAGGTCTTGTGCAGTCACGGCGCCGATGATGGTCCCAACCGGCGTGTCTTCATAAACCTCCATGGTGTATAATGGCTTGCTGAACACCGGGGGCTCATCCACATCCAGCACACTGATCTTCACTGTGGCCGTGTCTTTAAAAGGGCCCGCGGAATGAAATCTGTGGTCAAGGTGAAGGTTGGAGGCTTCTACTTTAAAAGTATATGCCTTCTTTGTTTCAAAATCTAATGGCTGTAATAAGGACAGATTAGAAATAAAGAGGTACATTGATATAGGATGTGGCAAAGACGGTGAGCATTGTTTTTAGAGCATTTACAAGTTAACACCAATTTTGTATTGGTCTCAAATCTCTTTTAATGAGTGGGTAAAGATACATTTTCAGAATCTCCCACTTGTAGATTATTCTGGGTAACTTGTAAAGATAATTAGTTGCATATATTAAAATGGCACGTATGTGCACATACATGTTTAAGTAGGGCTTGTTCATTATACAGGAGCAGATAAAAACACCAAGAGAAATTTTAAGGCAAGCATTTTCTGATCTTATACAATACTGACATCTAGTGGAATGAGGCTGTAATTAAAACACAATAAATTTGGGTAGTTCCAACAGTCTGCATTCCAGTTAAAAATTTGGTGTAACAAAATACGATTTTTTTCTTGGACCACTGTTCTTATTTTTGACAGCAATATCATTTTTATTAAAAATTTTTGAATGTTTAAGTCTTTTCACTAAAAGAGGACTATGTCAGGATTTAAAACATATGCAGTGGTAATTATACAGAGTTTTGGTCTTTGGTATTCTCAGCATTGTATATATAATTAGCAAGCATTGTAATGAATCATCAGGATATTTTACCAATATTTTACCTGGAACATGTATGATTAAATTAAACACAATTGTGAAACAATATTTGAAAGTCATTTGTCCAGAAGTCACTGATTTCACTGTTTTAACTTTACTACTACTACTACTTACTTTCTTTTTTTAAATATTTAAAATGTTTTAAAATTTATTTTTGAGAAAGAGAGAGAGACAGCATGAGCAGGGGAAGGTCAGAGAGAGAGGGAGACACAGAATTGGAAACAAGCTCCAGGCTCTGAGCTGTCAGCACAGAGCCCGACGCAGGATTCGAACCCACAAACCGTGAGATCATGACCTGAGCCGAAGTCAGACGCTTAACCGACTGAGCCACCCAGGCGCCCCTACTACTACTTACTTTCATGTTTATTCTGAATATTTGTTTTTATGTTCCAAATAACTGACAATATTATATTCTGGAAATATGGTGTTGCCATGGTGCTTTATATAAACTTTAGAGTCAGTGGCTGTCACTTCTAGTCATCTGTGAGAAACTAAAACAATATGAAATTCACATTAACATAGAGATTTTCAGGAACATTTACTTGTTTCTGTTTTCTAAATTAATTCCCTCTGGTATGACTCCAATGACTTGCTAATTGCTGTGTCAACACATCTGCTTTATTTATTTATTTATTTTGCTTCAGCACACCTGGGGGAAATAAACAAGGTATATTTCTCTCTTAAGGACAAGATTGTCATTTTATGCATTTTCTCTGAGGATGAAAAAGGAATATTTTTTAAAAATCCCTGTGAAATCCTCAAAAACTCTCACAATTCCATAGAGTTTATTAGAGCACACAGCAGCACTGCCCAGAAGTGGCATTAAGTTTTGTTCACAATAATTTTCATTCAGAGAAATCTATATTTATTTTCCCTGTAATTTATTCCCTTATTTTATCTAATTTTTATTCATCCTTTTATCTGCTTTGCACTCAACATTTTCTTTTATTTTTAAAATAGTTTTAGTGACTTGTCTCATGCCTGTTTACCTATTATATCAATAGAATATCTATTTTCTTCTATTTCCATCTCTGTAAGGAATTTTGATTTATCTTTAAGCCAATAAAAGTAAAGAATGGCATGCATAATATGCCATCATTGATATTATAACTATTGGTTACATCAATAGGAATATAATATCAAGAACAAAAAAAAGAGATAGTCCCATGATGCTATTTTGATCAGCCTACAGCTTGACTACTGTGTTTTGTTAAAGGAATCAAACTCATGAGAGGAAAACCAATTGCCAGAATAGGATAGCAAAACATTATTCAAGCAGGAAATATGAAACTGCTAACAATTAGTGGGAATGTTTACTGAGAATGCAGAAGATCAAAGCAAGATAGGAAAAAAATTTAAATATTAAAGGGCTATCATTTTGAATATAAGTTGGGCTTCTTCTAATAGTGTCTTAGTAGAATTAGCAAAACTCAGATTACTAAAATGGTAACTTTAGGTTGAGAAAAAGAAGAAATCTCTAACAAATTAAAGCATTCAAAACTGAATTAATTTTAAAAGTATCAACGGCCTACATGGTGGTAAGGCTTGGGATACATTCTGGGTACAATGACACGGCTTGCTCTTTCTACATTCAACAAACTCAGAAATTAGTGAGAAACAGGTCATCTCATTTAATGAATGAGAGAGACGGATATATAAGAAAGAGGGCTGTGCTATGTCATTCAAATTAAAGAACATAGTAAAATATATTTCCTGTTTTTGTAAACTCTAAATGCTCTATGGATGTAAAACAATATGATTTCCATCATAGTGACCCCTATCCTCTAAAGTAAGACTATTTTGATTTTATTACCTTGGGTCCTTTTGGCTAGAATGCTAACTGAGCTTCTCTGGCTTATACTTACCCCTTTGGGGGGCTCAGAATTAACTTCTATATTAGAATATAGCAGCTAATACCATTTGTTCTCTCTTTCCTTCTTTACTTTCTCCTAGACATTAAAATGCTCATGATTATCTATATGATTGGATGAATTCTTTCTAGACAAGATCTACATTTTATTTACCTACTTGATTAATGTGCCACTCCCACCTGATGGATTAACTCCCCCTTTGAAGTCCATTTCAAGCCCAGAAATGGAGGTAGAATTCTGAAAACTTTTCCAAACTTTTTTTTTTCTAGGTTGTCAGTCATAGTCTTTGTCTTTTAAGAACTTTTGACCTTTCGTAGCAGGCAAATATTTGGTGATCAAGAAGACACAGAGTGAGATGAAACTTTCTGTACATACAGATTATTTTGCAACTAAAAACTTATATTGTGCAGTGATGAAAGAACTGGAGAAAATTCTAAGAGAAATGTCACAATAATATCCTATATGGCCCTACTTCATGACCCCGACCCTCGGACAATGCCATTTTATAAAATTGAATAGCTCAAGAACAGCAAAGAGAATCAATATTGACCTCTCTCCAATTGACCTTATCCAAACCATCTGGCTGACTACACTCTTCTTTTGAGGGTTAGGGATGGTGGGTCTGAGGAATGAAATTCAGCTAGCTTTACAACCAACAAAAACGGTAATATTTAAAATAGGCATTGAACAAATAGGATTATTTTTATTGTTAGAAAATTGATCATATTCTATGACAGAATTCCATTCTTATGAAATTGAGCTAATTTAGCTCTTGCACAATAAATAGAAGCCTTTGTGGCATTGCTTGGGGCCCATTTGATTTGATGCAACTTTCTAGAAAAGTAAGAAAATGATTGATTAAAAAGAATTTATTTGAGTAATTCACTGCTCCTAAGGATGTTTCAAGAAAGGAAAGTTAGTAAGATCATAATTTTAAGGGAACAATTGACATTGTAGGGAGCTGCCCAGTAAGAAACCATAACTATGGAGAAACGGAATATAATATATTTAATTGCTCCTCAGAGTAGAGAGGAATTGGGTGAGTATCACCTTTTTGCATCTTTATCTTTAGCCACTTTCTCTGCTCTTACTTTGCTCAGGTCCAGGTCATGGAAAACTACATAAAACATTAAATGGTAAATGTTTTTTTTTTTTTTTTTTCATTTCAAAGAGGAAAGCAATTTGGGCATGAAATACAAAACAATAACTGTCTAGGATCTTTCAGGCCTCATCATGCATCTAGATAATGCTGAGTGGACATGGAGCTATAAATAGATTTTGAGGAATTTGAAAAACAAGAGCTTTGGTAGAATTCTAAAATGTCCCCAAGATTTCCGCCCCATGACTACACTCTTGTATAATCCCCTATCCTTGACTGTGTGAGCAGCCTCAGAATTTCATTGGATATCACCCCATGAATTCAAGTTTTATGGAAAAGTAAATTATGCAGATATGATGAAGGTCCTTCATCACTTGACACTGAGTTAACTAAAAGGGATATTTCAGTGAGAGATCTTAATTACATGAACCTTTAAAAGAAAGACAGTGCAGGGATGCTCGGGAGGCTCAGTTGTTTGTTTAAGCCCTGGACTCTTGATTTCAGCTCAGGTCATCATCTCAAAGTTTGAGATCGAGCCCCATGTCAGGCTCTTCTGCACTGACAGCATAGGCCTTTTTGGAATTCCCTCTCTCTCTCTCTCTCTCTCTCTCTCTTTCTCTCTGCCCCACCCCCAAATAAATAAAAATAAGCTTAGAAAATAAAAGTAAATAAAAAGGCAGTGCAGATAAATTCCCCCTGGCCTTGAAGTAAACTTGTGAGTGTAGAAACCACCTGGCAAAACCGCCTACTGGACCTGAGACTGAAAGCTAGCCAATAACTAGCAAGAAATATCGACCTCACTCATAAGGCAACAAATAAATGAATTCTGCCCACAACTGATAAGCTTGGAAAGTGTCCCTAATCTTCAAATCAGATGGCACCAAGCCGATGCAGGGGAGGTTTCTGCACGGGAGCAGTTATGGTATCCTCTGACCCACCATAGTGTACTTCCGTCCCTTTTCACTTCTACTCCTCTATATTGCTTCCATTTTTATGATTAACATGCATCTGTATTATTTTGCCAACAAAGTCTTCACTCAACAGAATGTATTCTTTTTAAAAAACTTTTTTAAACGTTTTGTTTATTTCTGAGAGAGAGAAACAGCGTGAGCAGGGAAGGATCAGAGAGAAAGTGTGATACAGAATCTGGAGGAGGCTCCAGGCTCTGAGCTAGCCATCAGCATATAGCTGGTCGTGGGGCTCCAACCCACGAACCATGAGATCATGACCTGAGCCAAAGTCGGATGCCTAACTGACTGAGCCACCCAGGCACCCACAGAATTTGCTCTTTACTAATAAGATACTACTTTCTCAATCATATATAGTAGTTCTTAATGGCCAGTGGAAGGGAATATTTTCAATCATTCCTAATGACTAAAGGCTGAACCCCTATCCA